TAGAAAGCTGAAATTTTGGGATTATGTTTCCAGTCCAAGTAGAACTCAAAGATTTCAAATTCAACCTCTGGGGGTTCGTAGTTCCCGCGTAAGGCCTCGTGAGGGTTCCAAAACGCGAAAATTGCTAGCTCGAGAACTAAGGAAGCTGGGAGGATGAAACTTTCAGGAAATGTTTCCAACTCATTTGCAACTTAAATCTATCAAATTCAGCCCCTGTTATGGGTGGTTCCCGCGCAAGGCCCCGTGAAAGCTTTTGGCGAGAAAATGGCTAACTCTGGAATCAGGGAATCTGGGAGACTGAAAATTTTAGGAAATTTTTCCAACTCATCTACAACTTGAATTTATCAAATTCAGCTCCCCAATATGCATGATTACACGTACGGCCCCGTGAAATTTTCTGGCTGGAATTGGAGTAACTCGGGAACTGAGGAAGCTGGAAACCTGGAATTTCAAGGGGATGTTCCCTGTCCAACTATAGCGTGGATAATTAACTTCCCGAAATTCAAGGACCGGTATGTGTAAGAAGTTTCTAGCTAGCGGAATTTCGAGTGGTCTTATTGCAGCACGAAACAGTGCAAAAACGCTTGATCGCACGGGCCCGCCCTGTGCGCAGCGCCATGATTTTATTTTGAATTGTTAGATTTTGTTGAGTGACAAGCCATCTTTTGCAAAAGCGAACTTTCTAAGATAACCTTATTGCAGATTCCAGAAATTCGCGATACAGTAAACGAACAGATCAAAGTTGACTTAATAGAAAGCATCCGGTCAACTGCTCTGCAAACCGCTGGCATTGCGCTGGGTGTCATTTTTATGTTTTTTATGTGTAAATATAGCAAAGATATACAATTACCATAATAAGCCTATATGCGTGCACAAATTGTTCGGAGAATCTTTTTGTTATAAGAAATTAATTTATGAGAGATCCTTGAAGAAATTTTTTTCAAGCAGGATTTGTTAGAATATCTGAAAAGTGTATTTTTTTCGGATGCAAAATAAATTCCCTGATTTGCTTTGGATGACTCGCTACGTGTTGGTACAAATTTTCTCGAAATCGAATTTCACTGTGATGGTTAGGAAGAGCCCCTCACATAAAAAACCCAATCTCATTTTGCGAATTTCGTCATCTTTACCTCTCGGCTGAAT